GGAGGCGTAGCCTGCAGAGGGCATGATCTGGCACTTTGATGTCAGGCAGCCTTCTATGTGGGGTCGTGTTTTTGGGGGTGCCATTTTTCCGCGTCAAAGGGAAACCAAAATAAGCAAAACCTCCATTTTTGCAGGGGTCCCCGAAAAGAAGGACAAGCCCATGTAGCTAGAGCCCACCATTGAGACTGGATGCATGCCTGCAAAATTATGATGAGTCGTTGCCCCATTCCCAGACTTGTGTTCCAAGAAATGCAAAACCGTAGCATATGCAGTTTAGTGCGCTTGGACCATCATGCACTATGGTGGTGCTGTCCAAGGTGATTGGTTCATCCCTCCTACTTACTTAGAAATGAACAAGCACGCGTGAAAGCCGGCAACTTCAGGCGGTGCCCTACAGACGCCCTACCTGGCAGACCTGCGCACTGCATGCAGGGCTCGTCGCAAATTGCTGGAGGCAAGGCAGCGGCAGCGGGTGTGTCAAGTGTGTCAAGGTCGAGGATCCGATTGTATGTCAGGCACGTGGGCCAACCAGGGCCGGTCAGATGCTCGGATGCTGGACATTCAAAATGTTTTGTTTCTGAGAAGTGTTCAAGGATAGAACACATTGACTGTCTTTGCTACTACACTGTACGAACAAACAGTTGCATTTCAGAGGGACGTGATCAAACGAGCCCAAGGCTTCGGCCTGTACCAACCCCAGGGCGTGAGTCATTTGTCAGGTGACAGGACTGACCTCGCAGATGAGCAAGATCTTGAGGCCAGCCAAAAGAACTGCGCACAATGTGTGTTCTGAAGCAAGCTGGGGGGCATATCCAGAATGACATGCAGTTGGACCCGTGCAATTTCCATGTCAGTTCATGGTTTGTATTTGAACAGTATTTTTGCCCATTGCATTCATATGCTTGGCAAGCAGAATCAATCATGCTTGGACAGGCCAGGTGGAAGAACCTTCAGTCGCTGTATTTGGAGGTTTGCAAGGAGGCGACGAGCCATGCAGCGTGCGATCACTTTGCACTCCCGGAGCTTCTAGAGGCTTGAGCCTTGTCAGAGCCTTTTAATAACTTTGTGACATTTTGTGACCTTTGACAGCAGGCTGGCAGCGACATTGCACAGGCGCAGTGCATGACACTGTCAATGAGGCATGTCACGGGCACATTGCATGATCAGACTCATGTCAGGCAGCTGACCACTTGGAAGAAGCTCAATGCTGCAGGCAAGCAAGCCTCAAGGCCGCATGCAGCTTTGTGACAGTGTTGAAAGGCAAGACAAAATCCGGAGGCAATCAGTTCTGTCGTGTGCTCTGTGAAATTGATTGAATTTGACCAAATCAGCATATGTACGTAACTACATGCATAGGTCATATAGGTCCTAAACCCCCAATAACAACAATTTACCGCTTGCTCAGAAGAATTGCAAGAAGTGGATGGATATTGTTGCCACCATATCACGGAATGTATTGCCCAGCCACAGGCAGCAGCTGCCGTGAAAGCCCAAAAGCTGCAAGCACGTTGCAACCTTAGATCGGGCAGGGTACGAGCATGAAGACACTTGTGATTCTCCGATGCACGGCGAGCTTTACACCATGAAGCCACTGCATGCGTGGCATGTGCTAAGCTGCCATTTAGCTCCAATCGAGCCAGCCCAAGGCTTTCTGCTGCGCACAGAGAAGCGCAAGGCCGCAGAGGCCTGCAAGGCCAGTTGGAGCCAATGGCCAGGAATACGGTAGCATGTCGCAACTGGTATGCCATGTGTTCTGCGCTTGTCGTACTCTTGAACAGGTTTGGAAAGACAAGCTCCGCGGCGAGGCGTTTGCAGCAAGAATTGACATGCGTGTCACATATTTTGTTACTGTTGGAACATGTGCAAACATGAACTGTGTGTGCAATGCTTGACCACAATGGCATGTGCCATTTTGGCTCAAGCATTGCCTGGGTTCTGTGAACCCTACTGATTTGGAAAAAAACATATTTCAATTCCCGACCAAGCCATGGCATCTTCGGCAACCTCGGGGTCGTCGTTTGAGCTGGTGGAGGACCAGAACCTCACAGAGCACGATGTCGAGATGGCGAGCTGGGAGGCACAGGAAGTGCGCACGCAGGAGGAGGTGGCCGCAGGCCTGGTGCTGGATGAGCCCTCGTCCCCCCCGTCGGCTTCGGTTGCGGATGTGGTGAAGGACCTCTCCAACGCCCTGGAGCGGCTGCATGTGGCGTTTGACTCCCCCAAGACCGACCCGGGTGCCTCCCTCCGGCCCCGTGGGGGGGGGGACAAGGACAAGGCGACCACGGAGGTGCACGTCCCGCCGATGAAGAAGCTCAAAGGATTCGTGGCGGCCTCGCAGATGGGTCAGGCCCCGGAGACCCGGCTGGCTGTTCTGCGGCCGGTGGATGACAAGCCCGGGCACTTCGAGCTCTCGGACCTCCCGGGCTCATTCCCAGCCCTTCCGGCTTCAGCGGCCACTTTGCTGCGGGACATCGCATCACTCCCCATCTCCTTTATGATGTAGCTCCACTCCTGCTTGCTGCCGGGCTTCGGGATGCCCAAGCTCTCCAGGAAGGGCACCGCCTCCTTACGCATCTGGAGGATGTTCACCATCCACTGCTGCGGCTTCACCACTAATAAGGTGGCTCACGCCGAGTAAATGTACCTCCGCGTTCTGGGGGATCTCGCCGTGAGCGGCCTTCTTCCAGACCCCCCCAAACATCCGGAGCTTTACTTGGTGCAGGTCTCCAAGATCCGCTCCGGTGGCTGAGGCCCGGGGAGGACCCAGATGGAGCACCTGGCACGCAAGGCTTGCAGCCTTCCATGGACTCTGCAACGGCTCATGAGCGGTGCAGCGGCGAGCCCAGCAAGTGCAGAAAGTCTCGAAGTTCGCAACCGTGGCCCGTGCTGTGATGACCTGGGATGAGCTCACCTTTTTCTTGCAGGACACCAAAGAGGCCCTTTTCCGCGTTGGAAGCTGCAACAAGGCTCCACCCTGTTGGAGCACCAGCCCCCCAAATTGGTCGGAGGCGCTTGCGTCACTGCAGCCCGAGTGCTGGACGAATGGCGTGTTGAAGAGGAGCCGCAGCACGAAGGCCAGCATCCCCGCCGTGGTGGTGGCCATCTTCCAAGCCCACAGTGGCTGAAGCATCGACTTCGCGGGGGACGTTGTTCGTTGGATGCGGCCCAAACCTTCTCGATGCCCTTCTTTGCGTGCATAGCCTGTCCTTCCACCATGACCTGCAAGACCTCCATCACCAGGATGTGCTTCTTGGCCGCCATGAGGTTTGGGTGGACCAGCCCAACCACGTGTTGACCTCCGCTAGATGTGTCTTCTTCCAGCTCAGTGGGGCGCCCATGCAGCACCGCCCCCGCCCCCTGGCAGCGGAGCACCCAAAGGAAGTCATCGACGAACACGAAGTGCCAGTCCACTTGAGGGAAGAGTGAGTAGAGGACCCTAAGTAGAAGAGCTGCCAAGCGTCCCCAGTGCGCCTTGTTCACCCGTTCAGGGAATCTACCTGGAACCGCCAACCTTCCTGAGGACCTTCACTCGCTCACTGCCACCCCCGTGGCCGAGGCTCATGGTCGGGGCCGGGCGCCCCAGAGCTGGAGGTCCCTCCTCTGCTGCAGCATGTGGCCAGCGAAGAGCTTGCGCACCATCGAGCGCCGTGGGAGCCGTTGTCCGCTCCACCGTCTGGTTTTTGATGGTGTCGTTCGCACCCCCAACCGAGCCGTCATAGACGGCGTCCCCCTCGTCGATTCCCGCCAGGGGCCCGGGCAGAGATCAGGCCCGCAGTTGCAAGCGCGCCGCTGCCTCTTTCGGTGCCTTCCACTGGGGACCTCCTCCAAGAATGTGCCCCGAATAAGCTGCCTGAAATCCTGAACCTCCGGCTCCTCTCCCTTCAGCTCCTTCTGCGCGGGGAAACCAAAGTCGCGGTCCTGAATATACGTTGCCAAGCTGCGCGTGAGGAGGGACCCCCGTGAAGCTGTACTTCGCGGCAAAGGGACCGGGTTGCGGTTCATTCTGGGCGCGGATAACGTCTTGGTCCTTGAAGTGGGGCGCTGCGTCCCACTTGGAACCTGGAGAAACCCAGGATGAAGGAATCCAGCAGCTTGTGCCGGTTCTTCCCCAAAACCGACGCGGTGAAGCTCGTCAATCCTCAGCATACCGAAGGTCTCGGAGTGCCATTTGAGGGTATTCCACACCTGTCGCAGGACATGGACTATCTGCTAGCAAGGATATAGACCTTCCGCCCCAGAAACAGCAGGTGGCTCAGGGATAGCAGTGGCCCTCCAAATGTGGATATTCAGGGAGCGCCGTCAGCGCCGCTCTTGGAAAAGCACTGTGGACGCCTATGTCCGAGAGAAACGAATCTGGGGCCACACAGGTCCTCAACCTGAACAGGGATCGCAGGAGGACTTGGCCAGGGCGGACCCCCAAAGCAGCATCAGTGGGAGCCAAGATTTGTGTACTCACCTTCCCGGAAAATTTGCTCCGGGAGATCCTGGCTCCTGGGGCAGGTCGACCCTCCGAGGCCAACCTTGGTGGACTCACTGGTGGCCACTGCCCGTAGACTGGTAGCAGAGAAGACGTTCAGTTTGTAGGGGGTACCCTCCTCCTCCGCGAGCTGATTGAGGAGCGCGCATGCCGCTCCTCGAAAACCACCTCAACCGGTCTTGGCTGTCCCAAAGCGCCTCCAGCGGGCGGGGAGAAGTCCGAGCGGCTTACCCTCCGCAGCCGCCAAGAGTAAGAGCCAGACGTTGTCCCACAGGTCCTCAGCTGACAGAGGCTGGGGAAGTCTACCGCCGCTGCCACCAGACCATGTTCTCCGCTCTGGCGCCCTACCGCGGACACATCAGCACCAGCAGCTCCCCCTCCGTCTGCCTCGGACAGAAGGAGGGGAAGAGCGCGGACGCTCCATAATCAGCTGTTCTGCCCCCTGAAGAAACCTCCGCCCGGTTGGATCCCCTTCATCCAGCACCTGTCGCAACCATGGCAGGAGGAGGCGCTGCTGAAAAAAATGCCCGACATGCAAAGCCCCCTCAACAAACCAGCCGCTCCTTCTCTGGGCGATAAAGCGGCACCCGTGGGCGTTCAGGGATGGGGATCCCCAAACGGCAAATCGCGACCCTGCAAATGTCCTCCTCTGCAACATGATCCTCACTCAGTAAGGCCCATTGGCCTCCCGGGTGCGGCTCCCGGTGGGCAGTGACAACCAGAACAACGTCGTGGCAACGCTCAACCTTGGGCCCACCTGATGGAATTGGTCTTCCTGCTCCATACACGTGGCTGCTCCCTGGCGGCCAATCACGTGCCGCGCGAGTTCAACCAGCGGGCTGATGAACTGACGCACCCAGACTTCGGGTTTCGCTCCGTCCCGAAACAGGAACTCTGTGAAAATGTTGCTTTTCTTCCGCGTCTCCTGAATGGAGATGCCTTTGACCTCAGCGTGGGCCCTGCATACACTTCGACAAGTCCACTGGTGCTTCCACAACGCTTGGTCTAAGCTCTAAACGAAACGGTGCCAAGCTGATCACTTGCGCCTACTTGTGCCCTTTGAACTATGTTGCAGCTTGCCTGTTTGGTCGTATTGCGTGGAGGCCTTCAAAGCCAAGCTGCTTCGAAGCGAGCTTCGCGTGCAACAAAAAGCATGGCGGATGGAACAGACGGAGGCACGGTTTTGGTAAGGGTCAGCTCCGCACACTCTGAAGATCTCTTCTTGAGGCTGCAAGTTGTTTTGGCTTGACGCAGGTCTTTGTAAAAGACCGCATAGCTCGGCTACTGGCGCGATGGCGAGTTCTTGTGCCGCCCTGAGAGCCTGAAGACAGGGCCCCTTGGCCATGATCTCCGACACCATCATTGACTTGTGACTGATACTTGTTTTTGCATTGGGCATATTGGGCCACTGCCCAGTGCGGCATTGCCAGCTCCACAGGTCCCACTTCAGAAACTGCTTTCGAACACGTATGAGTGTGTGACTGTGTGTGTGTGACTGTGGAACACTCGCCTTGGTAAGGACAAGTAGAGCGCTATGCAGCACAGGCGAAAGCCGCAACCAGCCAGGCGGCCTGCATTTGCCAGTCTCACGTGTCTCATTGGCGTTGGGCGAATTGGTAACGTATGACTCATGTGATCTAATATGTCAATATCCTGAGCTGCTGGCAGCCAACAGTGCATTCACATTAGGCCGGATCTGATCTGCGTTGTATTTGCAGAATGAAATTGTCAGGACTCACTGCCTGCAAGCCAGGCAAGAGAATGAGACAATTGTTTCCTACTCTATCCAGACTTGATGTCAAGCAAGCAATCGGCACCATGGAGTTCCCAAATCAGCCTAGCCACCTCAACTAAAGCAAGAGTCTACCAACGCAATTTCCATGCAGGTTTGTCTGGGGCAGTTGAGAGCTCATCTTTGGTAACTTGGAGTTGGTCACTCAATTCACCGAATTGGCATTGTCAGATCCGCCACAGTGTCAGTTCTTTGCAAGCATGTGCAAGGCTTGGCGCAGGCAATTTCCATTACGGCCATTTACTCAGAACTTTCGTGTCGCTCTACTTCTGATCTGTCTGTCCATAATTCAGCAGAGTGCCCAGCGGCGTGTCAATCCATCCTTATCTTCACGCCAATTCAGGGAGAGCGACATTCGAGCCAAGACGCAGTCTGACTCAGATAATCGGCCTCAAGACCGAGTGAGGCGTTCTGGCATTTGACCTTGTAGCGAAGGTGATTCACCAAGTGCACTATGCATAATTTGAACAAGTCTAAACACCACCTCGCGTGCTCTATCGGTGCTTCAGTCATGGTCCTCAGCATGTTGCCGCACTCTTGACGGCTTGCTTGACGAGCCGTTCAAGATCAAAATAGCCTGGTGTGCCGACTTGGAGTTATGGATGCGTTTGGGTCTCGCCGAAAGCTTATATTAAACGCAGGGCAGCGCAGGTGTGCTTTGCTTGTGTGGCCACATGTGTAAGTATTTCGCAATTGCGCATACTTGATTGAACATGTGGGCCCCTCAGCAAAACAACACAAATTGCAAGGAGAAAAAGCCTGCTTTCAAAACCTCAAGCTTGCTCCCAGAACCAGTGCTGATTCACCCCAAGAAGAGAGGACTTTCTGAAATTCCTGTCTTTGAGCGACCTGCTTGTCCACATCGTGCAAGATTCAGCGCGGCAGGTTTTCGATTGAGTTCAGTCGGTCATGTCGAGGTCCACGGGTCTCAGCAAACAGCTTTGCGCTGGATCCTGAGAATTTGAGATTGCAGGGTGCTTCGGCGACTTGAAGTGGTTGAATGGTACTGCCGTTGAACAGCCTAGGAATGGTTCCAACCAGAATTGTGGGAACGTGCTGTCAGATATCCCGACCACACGTGCACGCCCTCAGGAAAAATCACTTGAGATCTAGCAAATATGACTAGGGACCGCTTGCACATAGCAGCCCAGTATCACTTGGAGGTGTTTTCAGACTTCTTCAGTTTGGAGAAAGAGAAGTGGCCACATTACAGCACAGCATGGCTTGGATGTGTACTCGTAGAACTGGATAGGCGGATCAGTGGGTTTGTGCTGCAAGGTGTCGCAGCACCACCTGGCGGCAAGTCCTCTATTTGCTTGGGCTGGGACGACAGGCTGGGCGGAATGTTCCGAAGGAACATGTTCTGATTTTGAGCTTTGAGTTCGCTGTAGGCCTCCTGCTGGAGGCGCAGGCCAGGAAGCGCTGCGCTTTTGCTGGCATTCGCAGCTGTCAGGCAGGCAAGCTCCAATTCGAGAGAGCCGAGCTGGCAACTTGCAGCTCACCCTCTGAATATGTTGAGCTATTCACTGGTAAGGACCCAGCCGGCTACCAAGCAGCTGGTGCAAGGCGCACTCATTTCTCTTGGACGGAAAGTAGTTGGCATCGGTCGCTCGAAGCCTTGCAAAGCTTCACAGGCGAGCGCCTGATGATGACCAGGCGCAGACAAGTGGCGCGTCGACGTGCGTGGGACTGACAGGACCCTTTTCCACGCTGTGAGATGCTAGGCTGCTGGGTAGATTGTGTCAGAGCTTTGGTGCTGCAGGCATTCGGATCGCGACCCCGGGAGAGGCGCGGCCGAGACGATCCTGTGCGCTTTTGCATGTTTGACATGTGCCTGACTGTGCAGTGGCAATAGCTTCGCGAATGGTCACAACCAGAACACCGGAAACGTCCTCACCGGCGCCAGGGTCTTAAGCGCACATGCCCCACACCAAGCCAGAGCATGGCAAACGATCTGATGTTGCCTTGTGGCCTTGTGAGCAGCTTGTGAGAGTCGTAGATCATTTGGTGAGCATCGTGGCACAAGCGCACAGTGCCCACGTCAGCAGTTGGCACGCCCAGGTGCCTTCCACACGCGTGTCAAGGCGGCCTGAATGATTCTCTCACTTGACAAAATGAAGTACGATTCCGTTTTGTGTAAAGTAGTGCTTGCATATTTTCTAGATGCACAATTTTGGACTGACATGTGCCCCACCAGCAACAAGGCTGATCTGAAGAGACTGCCTGACTGTTGCAAGTCAGGCCTCCTGGTGGCCAGTCAGAGATGAGCCTGGCTTGGGACACCAGCCTGGGACTGAGAGGTGCCAAGCTTTCTTGTGAGCAGTTGTTGTTTCTGATTGCTAAGAGGGCCTTGCCAATGATTTTCGAATCAGGTTCGCGCGCCCAGGCAGGATGCCAAGGATATCGGGAAGAAGCATATGATCTTAACACCTGCAGGATCGCGGTGGCTTTTCGGCAGCTGGTGCAAGGCGCACTCATTTCTCTTGGACGGAAAGTAGTTGTCATCGGTCGCTCGAAGCCTTGCAAAGCTTCACAGGCGAGCGCCTAATGATGACCAGGCGCAGACAAGTGGCGCGTCGACGTGCGTGGGACTGACAGGACCCTTTTCTACGCTGTGAGATGCTAGGCTGCTGGGTAGATTGTGTCAGAGCTTTGGTGCTGCAGGCATTCGGATCGCGACCCCGGGAGAGGCGCGGCTGAGACGATCCTGTGCGCTTTTTCATGTTTGACATGTGCCTGACTGTGCAGTGGCAATAGCTTCGCGAATGGTCACAACCAGAACACCGGAAACGTCCTCACCGGCGCCAGGGTCTTAAGCGCACATGCCCCACACCAAGCCAGAGCATGGCAAACGATCCTGATGTTGCCTTGTGGCCTTGTGAGCAGCTTGTGAGAGTCGTAGATCATTTGGTGAGCATCGTGGCACAAGCGCACAGTGCCCACGCCAGTAGTTGGCACGCCCAGGTGCCTTCCACACGCGTGTCAAGGCGGCCTGAATGATTCTCTCACTTGACAAAATGAAGTACGATTCCGTTTTGTGTAAAGTAGTGCTTGCATATTTTCTAGATGCACACATTTGGGACTGACATGTGCCCCACCAGCAACAAGGCTGATCTGAAGAGACTGCCTGACTGTTGCAAGTCAGGCCTCCTGGTGGCCAGTCAGAGATGAGCCTGGCTTGGGACACCAGCCTGGGACTGAGAGGTGCCAAGCTTTCTTGTGAGCAGTTGTTGTTTCTGATTGCTAAGAGGGCCTTGCCAATGATTTTCGAATCAGGTTCGCGCGCCCAGGCAGGATGCCCCAGAATCGTTGGCGTGTAGGTACTCGTAGGGAGAGCGCGAAGGTTGTTGATTGTAAACTGTCCAAAGGGCCCATGGATGTCATATCTTTGGGGGCTGTGATGCGCCCACCCCGGGAATCTGAGCATTCTGTGGCAAACCTATGTATGCTGCTCAATCCAAATTTGTTTGGGGGGGTATTGCAATTCTGGGTGCAAGTTTCGGAAGATGCAACAGATGGCGGAAGAGCATCAAAGCAAGTGCCGCTACAGGAGGTGTTTGCACTTTTGAAACGAGACGGCATTTGTCAGTTTCCATTGGATTAATAAGTGCTTAAGTTTGCCTGGGCAGGAGTTTCATTTTTGTACGCGGCTTCGCCAGCCGCGGACGTGTAATTGAGGATCCAGTTTGATTCAAAATCAAAGTTGTTGCTTTCTGACCTGATCCGCATGTTGTCTTGCCACATTGAAGTTTGATGGCAGAGATTGCTGGCATCATCGCGCCGTGTTGGAGTCTAGCATGGCGTTCATCCTTGCCTTGTATGCAGTGCGTTGCTGTGCGGTGATTCTGTAGATCAACAAGATCTTGTGCGAGGTTCTGCAATAGATGTGTTGTGCAAAGGAGGTCGAGCAATGTAGAAGGCCGCGCCAGTTAATTTAGTTTCATCAGAGGCCGGGAGCGTCAGGTACTGTACACTTTGCAGCATGCCCTGGCATTCTGGAACTGTAGCGGACCAGCGACTATGAAAAGTCCCCAAAGCACCGTAACGATCCGCAACGCCCTCTATCCCACTGCTTGTGGATCCCTCATGCACGCATAGCGTCGGCTGCTCGGACTTCGAAGCCGTGTTTCAAGAATCTATGAAGCACGCTGTAGAGGCTCCAGCTGGTCGAGCAGCCACGCCCTCAGTGTTTGCATGTTGTCGGCACGTTGCCATGCGCATTTTGATTCTGATTGCATCAGTCCAAGCAATCTGCGTGCCAGACTTGCGCGCTTCCGCAGCCTGGTACCATGCCAGTCCTCCACAAGCACGCATACGCGCGCTTTTTTTTGTTTGCGCCACGTTTGTGCGTGTGTGCAAGTGTTGTGTTGTTTGGTGGTGTTATGTGCCGTGCTGTGCGCGTTAAGTTGTTGTTTTATGTGTTCTGTGTTTCCTTTGTACTGTGTGGTTAGTGTGTGGGTGCGTTTGTTTGCTTGCTTGTTTGCTTGTGTGTTTGTTTGTTTGCTTTGTTGCTTTGCTTATTCTGCTTTTGCTTTGTTTTGTGTTGTGTTGTTTTCGTTGTATGTTTGCGTGCTTGCTTTAGCTCGTTTGTTTAATTGGCTGGTTGATTCATTGGTTGGGTGGTTTGGTGTTTGCTTGATTTTGCCCGATTGCCTGATTGCTTGACTGGACTTGAGTTTATTTGATTGATTGATTTGATTGATGGAGCTCAATGTGTTGATTGATTGACTGATTCCTTGATTCATTGATTGCTTGTTGATGGATTGATGGTTCGATTGATGATTGGATCGGAGTGATTGGATTGGATTGGATTGGATTGGATTGATGTAATTTGAATAATTGATTGAATTGGATTGGATTGATTGATATGTGGATCAATCGATCGATCGATGGTTTGTTTGTTTTGTTTCGTGTTTGCTTGCTTGCTTGCTTGTTTGTTGGCATGCGTGCTACGCTTACTGGTTGGCTGCTTGTCATTCCATTTGTTTTCAAGGATACGGCATTAACGCTGCTTTTGAGCTGTGCGTTCGAATAGCCCAGGCTGGTCGGCAAGATGATCAGGCTGTGATCACACGCGCTTTGTTCGCGCGTTCAACGTGTCCTGAGCAAGGATGTCGCCATGCGTGTGCCAGGGTTGGAGCCGCTCATCTCTAAACATTTACCTTCATCACGTTTGATGCCACTTCTCCCCGCATTCTGACAGTGTTGCACGAGTCTGGCTTGAACTGCAATATCTTGCCGATGCCATCTCAATCGCTAGGCTTTTGGGCGACGAGTTCGGGAGTCGTCGAATTCTTATGCGAATGGTGCAGACCAGCCAGGTTCTCAATCGTTTTTCCATGCCCTGCGAATCACACTGGCGGCATCTTCGACTGCTTGAATTCACGAAACTCGAGCTCTTTCAGGAGATACACTGTTTTCAACTTGTTTAGGTTTTGACAACAGTTGAAGTGCATGTGCTTGCGACCCCTGTC